TGTTCATCACACATAGAAACAGAAGGAGCAGACAGCGTACACGTCTGTATTATCAGGTAGATGAAGTCACATTGATTATTAATAACTGAGTCCTGTTGTGATCCAGATCATGGGGTCCATGCGGGTCCTCTCCTTCATCGCTAACGGCTTCTACATCTACTACCCGATGCTGATCGTCCTCCTCTGCATCGCCACATACTTCAGGTCTGTTTGAGCTCTGTGAATGATTCTCAGCCCCTTGACTCTGTGTGTTAGAGCTCAGCTGTGAGGAGGAGGAGCTAATTCAACCATTAAAGTGACTGAACCTGGTTTCATGAAGTGTTTTTGTTCATCAATGATCACTAACAGCTGCTGGTTCATTCATTCAGTTATTGATGAGTTCATAACTTCTCTCCTCAGTCTGGGGACTCGCTGCCTCAACCTGTTGGGCTTCCAGCAGTTTGTGGGCGACAGTGAAATGACCTCCGACCTCATCGACGAGGGGAAGGAGCTGATCCGACGAGGTGAGAGGAGTCAGGGAGAGGAAGCTGCTCAGGGATGAAGGTTAACAGCTGTTCATGTGATTTGGTTTTCACAGAGAAAAGGAAGCGACAGAGGACTGAAGATGGAGAGAACAGACGGAGGGTGAGTAACGTTTGTATTCTGAGGAGATGACGGAACTAAAACTCACAATGAGAAGTATAAATGTACTTCATGTTCTGACAGAATACTGCATATTAAAAGTATTTAGCATCCATTACAAGTTATTCCTGTTTTATTGATTCACAGCAAGTTTTAGACTTTATTTCTTATTTGAACAACGATCACAGCGAAGCGTCTAACAATGCTGCTGTGAAATATATATAAATATATTTATATATTGTTAAAAATAAATAATAAAATAATAATAAAAATAACATGCAAGTAGGTCAGAATTTAATCAAATGACTCGTTATATATCAAATATAGTTATTGTAATAGAAACGTGATTAAGTAATTAAAAACTGCTGATATCAACCTTTCGTTCTACATCATCATGGAGGTAAAAAAACATGATTTAGTCGTAAATCTGAGATTATAAAGTCATAGATTTACAAGAATTAAATTCCCGGTAGATGACTGGCGACGTCTTCTTCTGTTCGTCGTGTTGTTGTTCATGGTGTGTTCATGGTGTGTTGTTCTTTACAGGAGTGGAAGGAGCGCTATGGGAACCAGAGAGAGGAGCACACGGCGAGGAACCGGACCAGTCACGAGCTGAAGGAGACCAGCTACTCCAACACGGTGATGAGCAGCAGCAACAGACGTGAGTACGCGTCCAATCACAGGGGAGGAGGGACGGGACCAGCAGCGTGTTTTATTATCAATTATAATGATAATAATAATAGTTATTTTATAAAGAGCTTTAAAAGGAACTTAAATAAACTTTACCAGGTAGACAAAGCAAATAAATGATAGAATAACATTAATAAAAACAATAACATAACGAGCATCATAATGTTTTTATTGTGGACCTCATGTCCTCGTGTCCTAGAACTGGACCAAACCAGTTTCTAATAATAGTAATAGTAATAGTAATAATAGTAGTAGTAGTAATAATAATAGTAACAATAGTAATAGTAGTAATAATAATAATAATAATAATAATAATAATAATAATAACTCTGTTGTGTTGTGTTGAACAGAGGCTAAGTATTCCCGCTCTGGGAGTCGCTCAGAGAGAGACTCCATCGAGCTGCTTCAGGATGCTGAACCTTTAGACTTCAACGCCGAGTCTCTGACCGACGACCCTCTGGAGGTGGAGCCTAGCAGGTAGAGACCACTTCCTGCTTCTGATGACACGACGACAGAACTCTACACCGCTGTGGTAAAGTGATGCATGTGTGTTTGTCTCTCAGACACGCAGGAGGACGATATCTGTCCATGTCGTCGTCTCGCAGCCGAATATTCGACGACGTCTGACGCTGATGAATCCGTAGAGATCAACAGGAAGTGAATGTACCACATGACCTCCAGGATGCATGGTAACTAGAAACAGACGTCCAGCTGTTGTGCAGCTCACTGGAGGAACGTTAATGAAGCTCTATTAAAACGCTCTGAGGTCCAGATGTTGGTCCGCATGTCAGGACAGCTGGAGTCTGAGCTGCTGCACGACCTCACGTCACTTTAATGAAGGTTACAATGTTTATTTATGTCTTTTATTTATTTATCACTGATATCTGATCAATAGCTGTTCAATCAATCATCTTCATTCTCATCATGAATCAAATATCCTGTAATAATCTGAATGTTGAAACGAGTTAATTTCATCAATGCTTAATAATTCATGTTGTTAAAATACTAAAATATGTCTTTATTAAAAGCATTGAAGTGTTTCACTCTGAAAACCATCCGTCTGAATTTATGGGGTTTAAATTTTCATCTTTTAAATCATGTGACTTTAAGTTCAGGTGTTTTTAAATCATTTTATTTATTCTGAGACGTTTCATTGAGAGTTAAAGCTCCACTCTCACTCCCAGTAACACCTGTCTCACTCTCAGTAACACCTGTCTCACTCTCTGTAAC